AAATGTTTTAGTTAAGGGGATAACTCAAGAACCGATGGATGGATCATCGTGATTTTTGGTATGTAGGTAGCTTGAGTAATGCTTGACATAATGATATTACAATTATGCAAATATAGATATAATTTGCATAATTAATGAGGAAATTCTATTTATCGGCTGCATTCCATAATAGGAAGTTCAAGCTTGTGACATATGTTATTAAGAATGAGAGAAACACAGGTAGATATCAATTATGCAAATGAGGACTTAGTTTGCATAATTAATGAGAAAATATTATAATTGCATAGTGGTAACTGCCTGGAATTTTATACTTGGGGTGTTTGAAAGTTACGTTAAGGTGAACATAATTAAACATAACTTATTCAAATAAGGACCTCATTTGCATAATTTATGAGAAAATTTCATCATGGCATTCTTTGTTAAGATAAGACTGTCTTTTGGTGGAGAATATGATCAACAGATATAATTCATGCAATTGAGGATCCTATTTGCATAATTAGGGGGATTAATATATAATTTCTTAATCATAAAAGCTAACATCATTTGGCGAAGGTATGAGATCGTTGAACTCTAGTTACTATTTGATTCTGTACAGTTCAATCATTTTTAGTTATTTTTTGACATCTCTGTTTAAGTACAGAGGAATAACCTGCGTTCTAAGGGTCATGTTTTTAATTACAAATGTTTTTAATTACAAATATTTTAGTATGTGCCTCTTGGGTAATTAGTAAGTCATTGGGTAATTAAGATTTTTCTCAATTGTCATGTATATGAAGATTTTTTTTTTAATCCAGCAAACTTTTACAAAAGGAAAAAACAGTTTGAAATGGTGATGGAAACTTCTTGATTGCTGAAACTTTTAAAAGTGCTCATTTTTGTCTTTGAAAAAAATAACAGCAAAGGTTTGAACCCCTTGATTATGAAAACATGGTCAAAAGCATGGCAAAAATATGACAAGAAATCAGAACAGCTTTACGATTTTATAATTTGTGAGGATGAAACTTAAAAGATGATTTTCACACTGATGGTTAAGTGTTGGCAATTATGAAGATGAGTGATTTTGCTTGATCTATATCAGTAATAGATTTCTGTGACCATAAAAAAGCATGCTGTTTTTATATGACTTTTCTGTGTCCTTTTACATGACTTAATTTTTTGTGGGAGTAGAACAGAGCTCGAGTATTTTTTCCAAGTGTAATATTTATTTGATAGACTTAGACATAATGTATTAGTTAGTAGGTTGTACTCAAAAGCAGAATGAAGATATACTTAATGTAGTTTATACATGTACATGTAAGTATGGATGATTATTGTATGTTAACAGATATATGTGAAGCACTAGATA